CTCGCTCTGGGACAGGGTATATGAAATCACGCTCTCTCCTCTCTGGAATAGGGTATCCATTTTCGCAATACCAGAACAGGGTATGATTTTCAGCAATCTTGCTCTGGAACAGAGTATGAATTTCAGCGATTTTAGTCTGGAACAGGGTCAGGGTTCAGTGGGCTCAGTGGCACATCCCTACCCTACATGGGCAAGAGTAACCCCCCCCCCCCTCCTCCCCAGGAGAATTTCCCTCTTACCTCTTACCTCTAGGGTCTCAGGTTTGATTCCCAGACCTGTTTGAGTAGCCTATATTAGGTTTCTCTTTGACTTGATTTTTTTCTCCAGGTTCTCTGGATTTGGAACTCTCTTCACAAAACCTAAAACATGCTAAATTCAATTTAATTTTGAGTAACATTTACTTTCAATTTTTAATAGCCTAGAAAGAAACTCACATTGTAAATATTTGTAACCAAATTAATAACTCTCCTGTTGTCGTTGTTGTCGTCATGCATTTCAACTTGATATTTAATTTGGATGTGCCTTAAATGACTTTGATCAACCAAGAGGTCGTTTCAGGGCATTTGGTAAAATTTCAATACATTGGGATCTTAAATGCTGAAGGAGTGTGAATGAAATAGTGATGCTTTCCCTCGTAATTCAAGATATTATTTTATTGTTATTTTTTAGATTGAATTCTACTTCAGTGATTCCAATTTACAAAAGGACAGGTTCCTGAAACAAGCTATTTCCAAGAATCCAAATGGATGTATGTCTAGACTGAATATTTTTGTTCAAAAATGTATGAATTCAATATGAAGCATAGGCCATGCCTAACTTTTACGTATCAACCAACCGGTTAGCTCATTTTCATGTGGGAGGTCATGGTTCGAGTCCTTGCCTAGCCAACAATCAGGGTCTTAAAATAACTAAGGAGAAATTGCATCTGCAAATGGATAGATTTTCAAGTCTCTCCACACTCCATCATTGCTAACCAATATTGGAGAGACTTAAAAGAACCACTGAAGATGTTAAGAAACCCTGGCTGCGACCACCCTTAGTGCCTACATCTCATACTAACAACTTCTCATGCTTGCAAATTGCATTGAAAAAATAATCTGAAATTCATGAGAGATGAGGGCAGTAAGCCATGTGGGATGAGCCCGGATATTATATAAGAACATGTGTGATAGGTAAATTACAAGGTATGAAACGACTGAAGAAGAGGGCCAATGGCCTTTCACAACTTCAAGTCGAGTAAAAAATGAGCCAGCTCAACTAGAAATCGTTGATGGGTGTGGACAGCTGTCTCGGTTTCTATTTGAGCTGGCTCATTTTTATGTGACTTGAAGTTGTGAAAGGCCCATTGGCCCTCTTCTTCAGTCGTTTCATACGAGGCTCGTAATTTACCTATTACGCATGTTCTTATAATCTGAAATTCACAACTCAATGTGAGGTGCCATTGATTATATTCATATATCAAGGGTACTATATAAATCATAAATCATCATCTCTTTCAGATATTAGTGTGAAGACTATAGCAGATTTCAACCGAATGAAGCAAATCACAAAAGATATTACTTTGGTGATAAAAGCCATCAAATCTTCAAGTTTATTACAGGTTATTAAAATAACTAAGGTTACTAATACTAAAAAAAACAAGCACATGCTGAGTGCATTCTTGAAGCAGGAGGGGGTTGACAGAAAATGAGAAAAGTGATTACCACAACTTGAAGCAATTCTTAACATTACTCAAATGTTTTGCCAATTTCCAAAAGTACGTTTTTTATTTCTTTTATAAAATGCGAATATACAGTATACTTTATTTTTTGGATATAAATGAGTAAATAGGAAGTGTACTCTCATAAAGCACGTACACCCACAACTAATCAGAATGCAACCTTGGTTTATAACGGCTATTATAAAATGACTGTCATTAATCTCAGTTTTCTCAGTTGTGTAATTCATTTTATTTGCTTGCTGTGTTGTGTGTTGTTCTAAAGCACTTGTGGATTTTCAGAACACTCAAGAAGTGTCAAGAAGTTCTCTGCTACGTGTCATGCTTCTCCTAACACTTTACTCATGTTCCGCCAACCCCCTGCATACTTTTTAACTGCACGTGCACCCATTTTCTATTTCTGCAATGTACTGTTGAATTCATACTAATGAAAATGTCTCTAAGCAAATTCCATGAAGCATGACCAGGGTGTCAAGTGTACAGTGTACTTATTTGCCACACTTGAAAATTAAAATAACCATTTACATTCATTTTAAGAAAAATGACTCTTATTGCTGATGTTTTCTTGTAGTTGAATGATGATGAGAGCATGGTGAGAAGAACGACACCCCTACCAGAAGCAAGGAATGTTGATGCTGAAACAATCTATGTGGTAAACAATAAACCATTCCTGAATTTGTGTAATACTGCTATGTTCCTCGATAACATGATAACTTGAAAGAAAAGGGCAGTGTTTAATTTACAAGGGGAGAATCCCATCTCATCAAAAATTGGTCACTAAGCTGGACAAATTTGCAACAAAAGGAATGCAGTGTTAAACAGTGGCAGATTCAGGGAAGGGTTGGGGGGTTGGGGGGGGTTAAATATCTTGTAGATGACAAAATGACTTTTGT